TTTCAGAGGGAATCTCCTTTTCCAGCTTCTGAGACTGCCCACATTCCCTGGTTTGTGGCCCCTTGTTCCCTTTCAAAGCCACAGGCACTGCCTCCTCTCTAATCACAAATATCTCTGCTTTGAAGGAACACTGTGACTAGATGTTACCCACCCAGACAATCAGGACAGTCTGTTGTAAGGCCTTTAATTTAATCGCCTCTGCAGAGTATTTTGACACTATAAGGTAACAGATGTGTAGGTTTAGAGATTACGCTGGACACTGTGAGGTGGGGGTTGAAGAGGGCATCATGCAGCCACTCCACTGACTCTACATAAATATATACTACTGTCGTTGCTCAGGCCCTTTATGTCTCTTAACCAAAAGAAATTGTTCCTGTGACTTCTCGTCATAGTTCTTCCTGTGGTTTCCATAGATACCATTTGTTATAAGAATACCCCCCAAAAAAGAGTATAGATAACATGTATTGCCTTTGGAAATGGTAAGTCTTGCTATGTCCTGAGCTAATCTCCTCGGATAGCCTTGACTCTTAGGCTGTGGGGTCGAATGTAGGCATTGTGGTCATATGCTTTTTTCATTAGTTATTTGCATGTGTGTGTCCCTGTGGGGGTTCTGCTAAAGCAGGGTGATGAACTTCATTTAAAATGCAAGTGTTGTCCAGAAGTATGATCTGCTGACAAGACACAGACTAGGGCGTAGACTTAAATGTGTGATGTGGCCCAGGATTATGTGAGTAAAAGAAAAATTACCAACTCCGCCAGTGTGGTAAAGTTTGTAAATTCTGAGTGATGGATGATGTAAAGGAGTTCATTATTTTTTGGTTGTAGTTCAGAGTAGGGGAAAATCGAAGACATGCCTTTTTGTACCCTTCACAGATCTATAATTTTTTTCAGAGATGTGAATGTTAGATGTTAGAAACATAATAGCACGTATTTACTTGTACGATTTAATAAGGGAGAATAGGTAACTGTTTGAACACGTACCATCTGTCACATACTGCACTAGAAGTGTTTAGTTGTGTTATCTCATGTATCAGGTGGGTATTTTTGTTGTCTGTACCTTGTAGAAGAAAAACTAAACATGAGAAGCAGTCATATCGCATTATCTGATTCTCAAGTCCACATACATTACTACACCCTTCTGCCCTCTATTCAGTTCAGTTTCAAGGTAGTACTTAGTCAATCCATTACTAAAAAGTATTTCAGTTAGTATGATTTTACTAGTTTTAAAAGTTATAAGCATTTAAGTCAAAGAAACCCATCAACTGAAAGAGTTCCTATATCTTTTGGGCTTGCTTTCATAGGAGCAACATTTAAAATATTCATATGAATCTAAGGGAGAATTATTAGTCTTTTTTTTTTGGTATCGGGAATTGAACTCAGGACCTTGCGCTTGCCAGGCAGGTGCTTGTGCCACTGAGCTATATCCCCGGCCCAAAATTATTATTAGTCTTTAATAGGTAAAATCTTTGCTTCAGGAGTTTATCTAATCATTCCCATTTTCTAAGCTGTAGTTATTGTAAGCCTCAGAAAACCAAAAAACAATTTCTGTGTTCATAGCTCCTAACCATGTGCCACACAGATAGCTTTCTGTACCATGCTGTAGAAGATAGAGGAACATATGATGAGGGCTGCCATGCAGGAATGGCTGCGGGGATATAGCAAGGGTTTCCTTGGCATATCCAGAGCTGCAATTTGCATGTTACATCCTGCAGCTTTTGTAAAATTCTAGCAGCAGGCTCTACATTTCTGATTTATCGGCCAGGCGTGGTGGCGCACGTCTGTGATTCCAGCACTTGGGAGGCTGAGGCAGGAGGATCGTTGCAAGTTCGAGACCAGCCTGGGCTACAAAGTAAGCTCAAGGCCAGCCTGAACTGCATAGTGAGACCCTGTCTCAAAAAGACAAAGCAAATGAAATAAAATAAATTTCTGATTTCTCATATGAGGTATGATTAAAAAAGTGTGGTTCAAAAATTTTATTACAGTAAAAGCACATTGCCATGAATCCCCCTCCGAATGTCCCACCTCGCCTCAGACATACTTACCTCAGTGTTCTTCCCCTTTTCTGAAGCAGTTCTGGAGTCCTCTTTCCTGAGGGTCTTTAGTTGCACTATCATGGCTGCCTCAGTGTTCTGAATTGATTCAAAATGTTTAGGGGAAATTTCTGTCAGATAAAAACATTATGTTGTGTCTCTATCCACCTTGTTCACTGGATCTGGCACTGCATGACTTCTGGCTGTTCCCCAAAGTCAAAATGACCGTGAAAGTAAGTGTTTTGAATTGATTCAGGACATGGAGGCAGCCAGAGGAGCACAACTAAAGATACTCATGAAAGATAACTTCCAGAGCTGCTTTAGAAAGTGGCAAGAAGTCAGGCATGGTAGTGTACACCTGTAATTGCAGCACTCAGGAGGCTGAGACAGGAGGATTGCTGTAAGTTCAAGGTCAGCCTGAACTATATAGCAAAGCCTGTCTCAAAAAATAAGTAAATAAATAAATAAGGCAAGAACAGTAGGAGAAGTGTGTGCAGAATGAGGGGGAGGATTTTGAGGCAAAGATCACTTCAGCAAGGAGATTAATGTGTGGACAATTATTGCTAATAAGTAGTAAAGCAGGAATTCCAACTCAAGTTTATAATTATGCAGTCCTTACTGTACAATGCTGCCTTTGAGGCAAGGGATGAAAAGGTTGACAAGGCTATACATAGGCAAATAAAAGAATGAAAATGATATTGTACAGTGGTTTAAAAGGTTTCATTTGGTTCAAAGTTTCACATAAGTAATAAAGGAAGCTTTGTAGGTTTTGTATGACATTGGGTAGAAATAGACTGGTAGGGTGAATTTAGTAACCACATGTGAAAGAGTAACTGTAAGGCCAATGACTAAAAGGATTACACAGCTTCTCGAAGAAACTTCTTTTCAGCCTTCCTTTTCTTTGCCTCATATACACTGCTGCTACCCTCTTCAGTAATGCTCTGTGCTAATTATAAGCACTTTTAAAGAAGTACTTTTGCAGCGTTGCCTCCCTGTGTATGTGGCAGTGCTTTGCATATATATACAGAGTGATTAGTCAGTGTATCATGAATGAATGAGTGACCAAGCTTAGCTCCCCTGCTTCTGTGCTTGTTGAGGTTGCAATCAGAACTCCTACAGCTAGTTGGAAAAGCCTGGAAGTGCTTTAGGCAGAGGGAAAGATGCTGGGCAGGAAGCAGCAAGATAGAACATAGGACCAAAATCCTAAATGTCTGGGGCAGCAGGAGTGAGAGGAGGATGGATCGAGGGGCCAGTCCATGTGGGGCCTTACTGGTCATGTTTGTCTTTATACCAAGAAGAAGAACTCTTGACATCATCAAAAGTTTCCAGCAGAAGGGTGGTACAATGAAGGGTGGTACATTGAGTTTGCGGAGGTCACAGCAAAGGAAACGAGTGTGAGTGTGGGTGTGGGTGGCTGAGGAGTGATTGGCAGTTGTCCGCAGGTGATGGTACCTGGAACTGTGGTGGGGACATGCAGTGAAAGGTGGACCAGTGAGAGATACATTTGTGGGTAAAATGATAGGACCTGATGACAGCTTGGATTGAGGAGAGGGCTGAAAAGGACTCAGGGGTTCCTGGTTTGAAGTGGAATGGACAGCATCATTCTCTGAGCTAGGGAGTGGCAGGACAGAGAACTCAAATTGGTTCTGGTAAGAGATAGACCATACATTAGATGTAGAAATCTGGAGATACCTTTGAGACAGCTAAAAAAGATGTCACAGAGGCAGTTGGACTAATGAGTGAAGCTCAGAGGAGAAACATAATGGCCTAGAAAAAAGTAAATTTGTGTTTTACTTTCATATAGTCGGAATTGTAGGCCAGTGATCCTTCAGTCTGGGTGGTGAATGTTCGTGAAATGCCTGTTGACTAAATAACCTCATTTAAAATGTTTTCTTTTCTCCTAGGAGCTATTCATCACTAATGAAAGCTGAGAATATGTCTTCAAATCAGGTGTGTTCAAGTTATTTGCTCTCATGTGCCTTGAAATGATTCACTAAGCATTTTTAATGAGTGAGTTACTGGCCATAGTGGCATTATAAAGTCCATTCTGTGATTGAAAACTGTTGGGCTGTACTCAGGCTGAATTCTGTTAGGCATTGCCCTGCTTCACTATGGACTTTCTCCTGTATCTGTTTTTAAATAGCTCACCGTTAGAAAGACATTGTAGTACCTTGTTTACTGTGAAGTACAGACCCATTAGTATACAGAATGTGTTAGCCTTCCGTTGCTGTAACAAAATACCTGAGATAATTAACTTGAAAAAAAAGTTTAGTTTTACTCACTGTTTGGAGGTTTCAGTCCATGGTCAGTTGGCCTCCCTGCTTTTGGGCCAGTGGAGAGGCAGTGTATCATGGTGGGAGCAAGCGGCAGAGTAAGGAAGAGAGACAGGAAGGGGCTGGGGCCCCCGTGTGACTTCCACCAGGCCTCGCCTCTTATAACTTCCACCAGTAGCGCTGTGGGCTGCAAACCAAGCCATAGTACCTGGGGCTTTGAAGGCCATTCCAGATCCAGACGTCAGCAAAGGACTTTTTCCCACTTTCCCCTTGTTTTCTATTCTCAGGCCTGCAGAAGTGCCTTGATTTGTTCACGTTTTGTATTGATGTGTCTTGATTCTATAGTGTAATTGAGCAAGAATAAAATTATCACCTTCATTAAAAAGAAAGTACAAGTTCTAACCCTAAGATCTTATACTGTAGCCTAAGTGACAAAATTGGCTCTTTTCATGTTCCTGGAGACTGAGAAAATGGTGGCCAGTGGCCAAGTGCCAAAGGGATCTTTTTAACATCCACACCGGCCTGTTTCACTGCAACTGAGTTAGAGACTTACTGTCTTCGAGGACTTTGCTCCCCAGAGTTACGCCGCAGTGTCAGAGGAAGCATCATTGAACTCTTACTGAACAGCAGTCCTGGTAGAAGATTGAAACCGTGTGGATATATCTGGAGATTATAGGTTTTACTGTATAGTTTCAAAGGACATACTTTAGATTGATACCATACCATATGCTAGCTACTAATTGCAGGTGCTGTTTGCATTTAGATGAAATAAAACCACATTAAAACTTGTGCTTCTCAGTCCGACAAGCTGTGTGTGGCTAGTGACTGCCAAATCGGCACAGACACAACTTTTCTATTGCTGCAGAAAGTTCTGTTAAGCAGCTCCGCTTCCCTTAAAGGTCATCTAGTCAAACCCCAGACTTAGTGCATAAATTGGAATTAATAAGATTTTAGGCATGATTTAGATCTAATATTTTCAGATGTTTAAGAACAGTGTCTTATTCCCACCTCTATGAAGAACTAAATCTAATAAAGCTATTTAGCCTCTCAGGGAGTTTTCCTCACCAGCAGAGTGAAGACATCACTTCATTGGACTGTTTTAAAACATAAACAGACACATATGTGAAAGTCTCTCCACACTTAATTACTGTAGTCATTATTGGTCCAAAGTTGTTACCTCCCCATGAAAAACCAGTGTCAAAAGATGAGATACGTTTCTTTCTGGAAGCTGCTCTTAGATTTCTTGAAACTTGGAATAGTTTGGCAGAAGCCTTTAACATATTCCAAATCAAATTTAATACAAAATAAAGTCCACTGCTCCAATCTGTGCTATGGTTATTCTCACTTACTGAGATTTTCTTTCATCCTTCCATTCATTCACTTATTGGTTTTTTGAGGTAGGGTTTTGCTATGTAGTGCAGGCTGGTCTTGAACTCATTATATAGCCCAGGCACTGGCCTGGAACTCACGGTAATCCTCCTGCCTCAGCCTCCTGAGTATCAGGATTATAGGCCTGAGCCACCACACCTGGCCTGAAATTTTCTGTCATTTAGAAGCTCTTTTTTATGAAAAACCTGACCTCCATATTTTGTTCTGACCTTGGACATACTCATTCCCATTATTATGGATTTTAAAATGTGGATATTGTTCTGGAGTTGAGAAATCTATCCACACACGGATACGTCAGTATGTCTTGATGTCTGTAGGACATTGGTGCTAAAATCCCCACCGATAACCAAAATCTGGAGATGCTTGTGCCCTTACGTAGAATGACAAAGTATTGGCAACTGACATGCACACATCTTCCCATATACATCTTCCCATATACTTTAAATCATCTCTTGGTTACTTATACCTAGTGTGATGCAAATGCTGTGTAAATAGTTGTCCTATGTTGTTTAGGAAATAATGACAAGGAAATACCCATGTACATGTTCAGTACTATTTTTTTTTTTTTTTTGAGACAGGGTCTTACTATGTAGTTCAGGCTGGCCTTGAGCTCACTTTGTAGCCCAGGCTGGTCTCTAACTTGCAACGATCCTCCTGCCTCAGCCTCCCAAGTGCTGGGATTACAGGTGTACCCCACCATGCCTGGCAAGTACAAATTTTTTTAAAAAAATACTTTCCATCTGCATTTGTATCCATAGATACAGAGGTCCAACCATATACTGTATGTATAAGACGCCATCTAATTAGTGACAAGTGTTAGTTTCAGGACTAGAAAATTAATTTGTAGACCGAAAGATTACCAGCCCCACTGCCGTCCTCACACTCTGTTACTTAATCCCCATGTACCTGAGCTATAGGTTTGAATCAAGTTCAAGTTCCCAAGAAAGCTCTGCATTGAGTATTTTTATTTCTCTCTCAGTGGGCGGACTCTTACATCTCCCCCTAGCCACAGTTCAAAAGGACTCTTACATCTCCCCCTAGCCACAATTTAAAAGGAAAAGCTTTAATTCTTCCCGTAACCATCTTCTGTCTGGAGATACAGACTTTATGCTGTAATTTGGCAGCGTGGTCAGTTAATTTTTATTTAAGGGCTGTTTATATAAGACTTGTTTCATTTATACAAGTTTATCAGGAAGAATACTTTCACTCTGAAGTTGGTTTTAACTTTGAATTGTCAGTCTTCTATTTAGGGTATCTCTTAATCTATAATTTCTTTTTAATCTTTCTAAGTTTGTCATTAGGGATCATAAATAATTACTTTGTAACATTCCTTTGGTTTATCAGTTTATACTGGGTAATAAGAAACCTATTTGTTAAATTGAAAAGCATGTTGACTCCAAGTAGAAGGAATCTAAAATAGAAAAGTTGTCCAAATAGTCTCAGATCTCAGATAAGTAGTTAAAAGTTTCTTTGATCCCAGAGCATTGGACCTCTGCGGGTCTCGCTCGCAGCCTCTGTAGGGAGTAACACTTTCGTTGTGACTGTCACCAGCCCCGGAGTTGTTCACCCTGACCGGCTGGGACAGAAAGCTGACGCTTGGAGATGTGTGGTGGCCTTTCAGACAGTGTTGGTGCTGTTACTTGAGGTGAAGACTCTGGGGCAGTCAGCCTGGTGCCTGGACAGAACCCAAACTGCTCCTTGCAGTTAGCTGCGGCACCTGCACTGTGGCCTGAGTTCCTTGCGCTAGTGGGAGAGAAGCAGAGAGAGAGCCATTGAACAAACTGGGATGAACCGACTTCCTGGAATTGCCACTGTTCCGTATCCGCCTCTGGCCCTTCTCTGCCATCCCTCACAGAGGCTGTCAAGAGAGGAGCATGTGTGAGCCTGACCTGTCACCATCTCTAACGACACTGGTGTCAAGATAGACCTGGTATACTGCTCGGGTGACACTGTCAAGCCAGTGTACCAGGGCGCTGAGGGACCTCCGTGTGGCAGAAAAGGAGCCTGGGGGCCACATGGTGCCTGCTCTTCAGGACTATTGGAAGGCACAGGACAGACATCGCTGCCTTCACTGTGTATGCCAGCACAGAAGGTTTTCTTTTAGCAATCCTGGCAAGCTGGCCCATGTGGCAGCTACCTTACATGTGGCTTCCTAAGGACTTTACAAGGGAGCAAAGGGGGAAGGGAATAGGAAAGGGAAGAAAGAGGGAGGGACAGAGGAAAAGGAAGGAAGGGAGCAGGGAGGTAATAAGGCCATTGTATGAGGTCGCAAATCTGGCAACCTTGAGGGCTGGGCTGTGGCTCAGTGGTAGAGTGCTTGCCTGCTATGCATGAAGTGCTGGGTTCAATCCCCGGCGTGGCAAAAAAGAAAAACAAAACCTGACCATCTTGAGGTTCAACAAATAGGAGTTTGGGTCAGCTGTTAGCATAAAAGTATTGAGGCAGTGTGCGTTCAGTGTGCGTTCAGTGTAGTTGTTGAGGGATTAATTGTTCCTTTTTTTAAAAAATGTTTATTATGTCCATTTAAGGTATGCAACATGATGTTATAGGGTACAGGTGGATAAAAGTTACTGTAGTGAAACAGATTAACATCCACCATCTCATAGTTACTCATTTAAAAAAAAAATACCTGGGTTTCATGCTAAGTTAGTAAATTGTAGCTACTGTAACACAAAGTTACATTTCGTTACAGTCACGTTTCTGACACCGTGTGCTGTGTCATCATTTGGGAACCGTGGTAACTCATGGGTGTGACTCAGGCTGTGCAGTGGCACCTGCCAGTCCAGCTCTTCAGAGAACTAATAAATGGACGAGAAATGATCAATGAATTTAGTTCTTTTCCTTTTTACTTTCTGCACCCTGAGAATAAGGCATGAGAAGCAGGTTTGTCAGTTAAAATTGTACTTGTAAATTTAAAGTATTACTTACTGTCAAGGCTTTTACAGTGTCTCTTTTTTGTTTCCTTCAGGATGGCAATGATTCAGATGAATTCATGTGAATGGAGAAGAGGACTTGAAAGATGTGAATAGAGACCACTGCAGACTTTTTGATTTCATCTCTGTTCTGAATTTGAAAAACAACCAAAATTCTGCCTTCATTCTACATGGAGATTCTTTGTTTCGGAGTTTTAAAAAAAATTCCTTTTTTTTGCTGACAGAAAGGGACAGATATTATATATATATATATGTATAATGATGAACTTGAAGATGACATATAACTTTAGGAAAGTGAACGTATTTTTGCCAGATCATGCCTCAGTGCCCCGTGGAAGCCGACTGCCCTTGCTCTTGAGACAGACGTTGGAACAAACCAGCTCTGAGAAGTTTCTGTGTGGCTGTGGTCTACCCCGAAAACAGATGTCTTGAAATGCTTTCCACACCCTAAAATACCCTCACTTCTGCTAGGAAGGGTGTGTTTGTGGGCAGTTCAGGCCCGTGTTCCCATTTCTGATTTCCTGGTTAGATAAAAAGGGGATATGGGTTTGAAGATGATAGTGGTATTTCAAAGACCGCTATTAACCACATTCCCTCGTGTTGGATTCTGGTAGTGTCGTGACCCTCAGCTCTTGGCTTGCCCCCACTCAGAGTTCTCGCTTCTCAGAGTTGGGACCCCAGGCTTAGCAGCATCCTCTTTAAAGAAGCGGTGGGTCTTACTCGTGTGGGCCTTGTGGCGCTTCCCTGAGCACCGAGTAACCCAGCCCACACATGTGACAGCCGCCAGTGTCTGGGGTCCTGTCTCAGCACAGAGGGAGACATAGGAAGGGGTTCTCTGTGAGTGATGTGGGAAACACAGGTGACCTGCCGTTTGTCTTTGGATACTGCATGAAGCAGACGTCCGTATTGGATTATGCTTTAAGACAAAAAGCGTTTCCCTAGCCAGCTAAGTAATTTGTTTTCTTGCCTTGGACTAGATTGAAGTTTTGTAACCCCAGAGTTCTAATTTCTCAATTGTAGACTCAGTAACAGAATATATAATTACTGCTCATTGGAAACACCTGCTACCCAGTGTGATTCTGGCCAGAAGATAAATTCTTATTGCACTGTGTGAGGCAACCCTGTGGGAAGAGACCAAAAAAAAAATAGTGGAAAAAGAACAAAGCCTGCAGGATAGCAGGCACGCAGGTTCACATTGTAACAGTCTCGGGATTCTGCCTGCAGCGCTGTTAGCGAGCCGAGCAAACATGGCCTGCGTCAGCCTAGCTGTAGTAGCACTTTGGCTCTGTGGGTAAAACCCAAAAGACTGATTCCAAGTTGGCATATGGGGTTGAACTGGAAAATTCCCTGAGGCGTTAGTCATTGGCCCGATTTTGAGGGGGTATGGAAGACAGCAACCGAGACCAGAGAGAGTATGTGTGAATGGTATTTAGACTTGAGTTCTGCGATAAAAAAATTATAATAAAGTATCTTTTTTTAAATCTGGATGGACACTGCTGTATAAATTCTTAGAATTATTAGAAAAAGGGCCGGCATCATCCCTAACACAGCGTTGAGAGAGATGTTGCTATGAAAGCCTCATGTACCACAGGCTGGTTCTGCAAGCCTAGAGCCTCACACCAGCCAGGTGAGCGCTGCACCTTGCACTGCACACAGCCTGAACCCTGGCGGACTGACCCATTCCGGCAGGTTCTGGAGGGGTCTGCGCGCTGGCAACTGCCTGCCTCCCCCGGGAGCCCGCTGCGTTCCAGCCGCTGTCCTCCTCAGACACTTGATTGCCTGTGCGCTAGCAGCCATGCAGCCTCTGTCCTTCAGCCCCTCTGCCTGGTCACGGTTGGCACTGCCGTAACACTCGACTGACATCACAGGCTCCAGTGTGGCCTGTGTCCCCGCAGTCTTCTGCCCTGAGGACTCCTCTGCCCCACAGTGCAGCATATGCCTAGAGCTCTTGAAGCGTAAATAGTACCTATCTCAGCTTGGTACTGCTTCAGAATGTCAAGGCCTCTTCTGAATCTTCTGAGCTGAGATCAGGGGCTCACTCACCTCCAGTTCTAGGCTGATTTCCGTCTGCCTGTGGTGGTTTTTTTTCCCCGAGCACTCTTGGTTCTATGGGAAATCAAGGGCCTCTTGAGGAGGCCCTTGATACACGTTCCTAACTGGCAGGTCAGACTATTGGCATCAGAGTTGTCTCGTTTCTTGCCATTGGTTTGTTTCCTGAAAGTTTGATAAGAAGATGCCAAATGGTTTCTCTGTGTGAACCATGTCCTTGATCACATCTGTGCGTCCTGAGCCCTGTGGAACAGAGGCCCCTCGCCAGCTCTGTCCCTGGTGTCACCCTTCTGACCTGCACACAGGTGAGGGGTGCATTATCATTCCAGTAACCACAAACTGCTGTGCTGTTTGGACAGCTTTAGACTTCACATTTCTTACCCACCCTTGTCTGGGGCCGCAGTCCTTGGGCAAGGGACGTTTGCCAGCACTTGTGTTGGACAGACAGTGGACAGTTTTCCAGAATATCAAGGATGTTGACAATATGTGACGCTTGCTGAACCCCATCAGCATCCTTTTGTGTCTTGTATTGCTTTTAGCTGGAAGCACTGATCTGTAGTGAGCCTTTTAGGGGTTCGCTGCCAGTTGTCCCCCCACTCAGCAGAGATGGTGCGAGCCATGCATAACAGCAGGATCAGGGGGAGAACACAGGTCCAGCATCCGGTTGGAGACTGAAGCTCTTCCACCCACATTTGCGTCTCTCTAAGAAGAGGAAGTTCCTCTGTTCTGAGCTGGAACAGTTTATAGGGAAAACGGAACAATTTCCAGTTTCTCCTGAGTCATTGAAGCCTGCTTTTCTCTTGTTCGGGATGAAGTACAGCATGTACATGACAAATTCCCCATATTCAAAGGTACCATGTTAGAGCGTGCAGGGTTTTTTGAAACAGACTTAAAATATCCAACTGCAATCAAAAATGTAAAATTAGAAACACAAATGCCACGCTAAATGTCAGCCTTGACCCTCCTCCAGGGTGTGACTGCTCAGAAACGAGAATAGCACCACTGTGGCCCAAGCAAGTTCCCATTTATGCCACACTGCACAAGAGCTGCTCTGCCAGACACATCTGAGTACAGTGTGGAAAGAGACGTTTATATGCAACTTCCATTTCAAAAAATGTACCAGAGATATGTCCTGGATGAGTGATGCATAAAAATACGATAACAGACTATAGTTTGAATAGGACCATACAGGTTTGTGGGATTTCACTTGGGGCTTAGTCTCATGTTGGGACTTGGATCCTGAGTTTAGGCGAATAAGTAGGAGCTTGTGCTCTGTGTCATGAATGGAGCTTTTCAATTAGTATTGCTCCTTAGCAGAAGAGCTAACCAGTGAGAAGATATCCCAAGAATTCCAGGACGAAGATTGAAGAATGTGGGGCTCAAAGGCCATATCTGAAGACTGGTGTATGGCGTTCACAATCTGATCCCTGGCCTTCTCAAAGTTCTTAGGGGTCTGCTTGAAATTGTGACTGGTACCTTAGTCTGTTTAGTGCTGCTATAACAAAATACTTGAGGCTAGGGGCTTTATAAGAGGTGTTATTGGCTCATGGTTCTGGAGGTAAGATGGTCTAAAGAGCATGGTGCTGGCATCCTGGCAAGAGCCCAAGTGGCTGCATCACAACATGGTGGAGAAGCAGGAAGGGAAGCAGTTGGATGCAGGGCAGGGGAAGTGTGTAGGGTGGCCTTGCCTCCTAACAACCCAGTTGTGAAAACTGAGACCCAGTAATGCGTTGATGAGGGTGGAGAGCTGCTGTTGCCCAATTACCTCCTGCTAGGCCGCATCTCACCAGGGTCTGACCATCTCAACCATCCTGGATGGACCAAAGTTCAGCGCTGGAACCTTTAGTCCACAAGCCATACCTAAACTCAAACAGCCAGGCTGATTGTGCAGATGGGAAGACTTCCTGGAGTGGTTTCCCTGATGAAGACAGGGTTCTGAATTAGTGTCTTCTACAGGTTTTATCCCATGGTTATAGAGCTTACTGTAGTGTTTACTCAGTGTTTGTGGAGAGTTACAGTATTGGGATTTTTCTCCCAGCTGTAAAAGCATATGTGGATTCTTAAATGTTTACCAGAGGATATTTGAGTTATTTTTCTCTCTGATAAGGGCAACACTTGTACCCCTTGGCTCTCAGCTGCCTTACTAGAACTCTGGGGTTTGAATGTTTGAGTAAATTATAAGGAGAATACGTTTAAAATCAGAGTTTTCATACAGGCAAATGTAAAGATGCACATACATACTAGGTGGACTTACCAGGACACTAAAAATACAAGCATCTAAGGCCATCTACCCATGGTTTATCATTAGGTTGTAGAGACCTCTGTTACAAACCGACTGGTTCATTTTGCCTTTCTGATTTCATGACTGTCAATTCGACCGTAGGCCTGCACTGCCGCCAGATGAAATAAGAAACTGCGCTCTGACCCGGCAGATGGTTTGGCACTGCTGACTCAGCACTTTCTGCATCCGTGCCGGGCTGAGGGATGGCAGCCAGGGGAAATAACTGCTCACTTTAGAAATCCATGCAGATTTCTTAGGTTCTCAAACCTGGTGAGTAGGTGTCAATATTTAAGACTGGAAAAAAAAAAAAAAAGGAATTCTCCAAAGTCAGTATTATGTTTCCTTTCCGCATCAACCATCATCTTGTAACCGCTGCAGTAAAAATAGAAGACTTATGGCCTGACATTTCACATCCTGCCTAGCAGAGGCCTGAGCAGCCCAGGCTGCTGCTGTTATTTTGCTTTCTGCCTCAGCAGTCTGCTTCACTGTTAGAAGGCTAACATTTGCTTACAGTTACATTTGCTTACTATTTCAGAAGAGAACTGGAATTTTTCAGGTGGTAAAGGCAGATCTGTTTGTCTTAAAGCTTTTTGACCCCCTACTATGAAGACCCAGTGCAGGGTCAATAAGTTCAAATCATAGATTGAAAAAGATAAAATCACCAGAGGCACTGTGCAGTGTCTTTTAGGCAGCCCAGCCTTGCCAGAACTGTCTTTAATTGTGAAGCCCTTGGCTTCACATAATGCCATCGCTTTGATGCTGTGAAGATTTTATGGTTCCTGTAACCAAGCAGAAGCAGGTGCCATGTTGTTGGACCTCCAGAACTGTGAGCTAAAGAAACCTCTTTTTATACAGCTCCCAGCCTCAGGTATTTTGTTACAGCAATACCAAATAGACTAAGACAATCTGAAATAGACAAAAGTTAAATTTGGTCCCCAAAAAGCTTTCCTGGTGCCTACAAGTAGAAAGTGTTTGCTGTTTTCAACGAGAAGAAGCAAAGTGGTTCACATTCCCATCTGCAGCCCAAGGGAAGCTGCTCCCTGGTTTGTCCCCACCTCCTCTTTTTTTTTTAACCATGGAAGAGAGTGTTATGGCACCATGTTTAAAACCAATGATTGGTTGGTGCCTTGTAACAGAGCAAAACCTTGGTCAATAGAACAATACCTCAACTATGCAGACCTTTTCTCCTTCACTGCTATTAAAACAGGATAGCCCCCGAGGCAACTGCTCCATCATCAAGACCAAAGGGTGAAAGAAAGCCTCTCATAGCAGCAGCTGCCTCCTCCCTTCAGACCCTCGTAACTCTATGGAGAATCTCTTGGGCTTCAGGGTCAGGGAGAATTGTTAACATTTTCCCATTTATATCAGTAGGTACAGAATTCAGAAGGTCGAAAAGGGTAAATGGTGAAAACTGCTCCCAGTTCCCCTTCTTACGGCAACTGGTGGGATTACCATGGGGGTTTTTGTTTTTGTTTTTCTGTAAAAGGCAGGAGCTTTTGATCAGGATCAGCTGAGCCCAGGGATTCTGCCTGCTCCTTGTCCTGGAGGAATCAGTGGCTCAGCCAGAGAGAAGGGAGGGCGGCTTCTCTCTGTCTTTGCCTCGTGGAGCATCTAAACCAGGAGACAATACCCTGCAGCTTTCTGGGGATCACGCCCAGCCGCTGGGACTTAGGAGCAGATAATGAGTTCAGAAATGGACAGGAACCAGAGGATTAAGTGTCCTTCTGTTGTATCACAAACCAACATCTGCTTGGACTCAAATTGTGGGGCGAACTGTCTCTTCATAGACTCCTATGTCTGAAAATCTGAGCTTGGTAG